CCACACAGAATCACACAGAACTGGGAAACTCAGGCTAGAATGAGAACCCCAACCAGAACCACCTAAACTGTGGGCTGCACATGAGCCAGGAACTCTTTGTTCCTGGTCCCTAACAAGAGCAAGTTCAGATTGAGGGTGTGTTGAAATGTTAACTGGGTAGAGTTCTATTATGACTATTGAATCTAATAATTTAATAAGGGGGTTGAATGAGCCACTGAGCCACCGAAAGATATGGAGGAAACAAATGCATATAGACGAAGTGCAAGAAGCCAATCGGAGGAAGCTCTCTGCTGTGTGCTCCAACTATATGACATTTTGGAAAAGGCAAAACTATGGAGGCAGTAAAAGGACGAGTGGTTGCCAGGGGTTCCAGGGAGGGAGGGATGAATTGGGGGAGCACTGAGGATGTTTAGGGCAGAGAAACTATTCTGTATAATATTTTAATGGTAGATACATGTCATTATTCATTTATTAAAACCCACAGAATATACAACACCGAGAGTGAACCCTTGTGTAAACTATGGATTTGGGGTGATGATGATGCATCAGTGTAGGCTGATTATGACGCATGTACCACTCTGGTGAGGGATGTGGACTGTGGAGGAGACTGTGCTTGGGGGGGGGGGCAGGAGGTCTATGAGAACACTCAGTTTGGCTGTGAACCTACAACTGCTCTTAAAAATAAAGTTTATTTAATACAAGGTTGGGGTGGGTTGTATTTTGTATGTCTTTTTTTATATTACGGTTGTTTCTTTTTCCTGGCAAATCAGTGCTATGGACTGGATGTTTATGTCCCCTCAAAATCCGTAGGTTGAAGCCCTAATCCCCAGTGTGATGGTTTTTGAATGTGGAACCTTTGGCAAATGACTGGGTTTAGATGAGGTCATGACGGTGAAGCTCCTATGATGGGATTAGTGCCCTTTAAGAAGATGAAGAGACCAGAGCCCTCTCTGTCTACCACATGAGGACACAGCAAGAAGGTGGCTGTCTGCAAGCCAGGAAGGTGGCTGTTCTCACCAGATGCTGAATCTTCCAGCACTTTGATCTTGGACTTCCCAGCTTCCAGTACTGTGAGAAATAAATAATTCTGTTGTTAAAGGCACCCAGTCTACAGTATGCTGTTATAGCAGCTTGAGCTAAGATAGCTTTTAGTCAGTTTGTTATAGTTTACAAAAGTTTTTGGTCTGTGACAGATTGGAGGGAAAAAAACTGATTCTTCATCGCAAATAGTGAGAAGCTCTGACCTGCACCAACAGCCCTAGTCCAGGAGCCGGAAGCACTGGTCTCCTGCTGCTGCTCTGTATTTAGCTCTCTGCCTCAGTTTCCCCATCTGCAAACTGAAGGGGTAGAGTGACCAGACCTAGCAAATGTGGCTGTTCAGCAAATGCTGGTTCTTTTGGTAAATATGGGCTACCTCAGGCAGTTAGGGGCCATGGACCCCTTCCCTACCCCTCACCGTTTGTTGGGACATTCCAGAGAAAGCAAGTCTTGGGGAAATTCTGCCAGCCAGACACAAAAGCTCACTGGCAAGTGTGCACGAAATAGGTTGTAAGCTTGGGCAAGACTTGCTCTGTCTGAGGACACTGGGACACACAACTTGCGTGAAAGGTTGAGGCAGAGGCAACAGTATTCTGGAAGAGCAGCCTGTGTCCTGCTCCATGCCATGACAGTCTCCTGAAGTGGGGACCAGCCTCTCACTCCGCACCGGTGCAGAGGTAACACTGACTGTCCAGTGCTTCTAGCTAGCAAGATCTTGAACATCACTTACTTCCCCAGTGAAAACGTATTCCAAACACTTCTCATGCCAATTAGTCAACCTTCTGGTGTAATTTTTTTTTTTTTTTTTTTTGCGGTACGCAAGCCTCTCACTGTTGTGGCCTCTCCCATTGTGGAGCACAGGCTCCAGACGCGCAGGCTCAGCGGCCATGGCTCACGGGCCCAGCCGCTCCGCGGCATGTGGGATCCTCCCAGACCTGGGCACGAACACACGTCCCCTGCATCGGCAGGTGGACTCTCAACCATTGCGCCGCCAGGGAAGCCCTTCTGGTGTAATTTTATTTATTTATTTATTTATTTTTGCATTACGTGGGCCTCTCACTGCTGTGGCCTCTCCCATTGCGGAGCACAGGCTCCAGATGCGCAGGCTCAGCGGCCATGGCCCACGGGCCCAGCCGCTCCGCGGCATGTGGGATCCTCCCGGACCGGGGCACGAACCCCTGTCCCCTGCATCGGCAGGCGGACTCTCAACCACTGCGCCACCAGGGAAGCCCTCTGGTGTAATTTTGATAAGTACCTTTGAGATGTTTTGTTACCACGTCTGGACTGGATTCTTAAGATGCTCTAAGTGCAAAAGAGCTGCCCTCCGTGGTACATTCAGTTATACATACACATAAATAGCACATTATTAATGCCTACGTATTTTACAGTATATTACAGGGAACTATACTCACTATTTTATAATAACCTAAAAGGGAAAAGAATCTAAAAAAGAATAAATAAATAAATAAAGGGGACTTCCCTGGCGGTCCAGTGGTTAAGACTTCACCTTCCAATGCAGGAGGTGTGGGTTCAATTCCTGGTCGGGGAGCTAAGATCCCACACGCCTCACGGCCAAAAAACCGAAACATAAAACAGAAGCAATACTGTAACAGATTCAACAAAGACTTTAAAAATGGTCCACAACAGAAAAAAATCTTTAAAAAAAATCTATAACAATCGTTTTTCTATACACTTGAAATTAACACAACATTGTAAATCAACTATACTTCAATAAAAAAGTAAAATTAAATTTTTTTTAAATTAAAAATAGGAATAAAAATAAAATAAATAATTTTTTAAAGTATATTACACCCAGCAAATAGAGAGATGAATTGCATGGCCTCTAAGTTCCCTCCCAGGGCAAATATATATTGTAATATATATTTTTTACTTTAATATTCCTTGAAGACAAAAGTCAGTTTTCTGAGTTCACCAATACCTTCAGACCATGGAAATACATGGGACTATCCCCAGGCTGAGGGACAATTCTTCAAAGCTGAGATAGGTCTTCACTTCCTGCTGATAGGCATCAGGTGATGCCCTCAGTTTCTGTGTTCCCCCAGAACACAGAGGCACCCCAGCTCTGTGCCTCCAGTCTTTCCCCTCTTCTTTACTCAGTGCCCTGACCTCACCCCAATTCCCACTCTGGCCTTGTTTGTTGTCTTGGAGCTGGGGAAGTCTGTGCTTCCACAAACCAAGCCAGAAGTCTCAGCAACCACTTTCTCACAGAAACATGAAATGGCAAACTGCTACTATTTGGGAGGTCAAGGAATGGAGTGCTTTCTGGAGACGGGCGGCTTGGGTGAGAATGGTATCTCTAGCGCTTAACTTGTGAGTGATCTTGGGCAAGGTACTGAACCTCATTTTCCTCATCTTTAAAATGGGGACAATCACAGCTTCCACCTCTTAGGCTGTTGCGAGGGTGACATGAGACTGTCAAGCCCCCAGCACAGTAACCGGAGCCCAGGCGGTACCCGACAAGGACAGCCAGCTTCACAGTGTACAGCCTCTTTGTTTAGCTCCTCACTGCCACTTTATCCCATATCCTGACCTAAACTAGTCCCCACGTGGCATGGTGATCATCTGAAATATAATTAAATCTGCACTCTTCTGTTGCAAACTCTTCCATCATATCTCACTGCTAGAAAAATCCAGCCTGAGGCTCCTCTCACCTCTCCCCTCGCTCGGGGCTGCAGTTACCGTGGTCCTTGCACTGGCCATTCCCTCTGCCTGGAACACTCTTCCCTGACCCTCAAAGTCAAGTCCAGTTCAAATGTCATTTCCTCAAAGAAGCCCTCTCTAATGGCCCCATCCTCCTTAGCACTAATCCTCAATCTGTGATCACTTTACTGACTTATTGCTCATGACCCCACGAGAAGGCAGCTCAGGGAAGCCAAGCACTGACTGAATGGATGAAGGATGCATTGTTATCCGTGGGGCTTGGGTGCTTTTGAGATTAAGCTGCTTTGGTGGCCTGCCCGGACCTGACCCCCTGGCCACCACTGTTGCAAGTTCCAAACCCATTGTAAGGTAAGGCCTGGCCACCTAAGCATGAACAAATGTTGCACAGTGAGCCCGGAAGTCCAAGGTAAACACTTTTATTCTCAGTTCTGCCTTAGCTGTCTCTAGTTTTGCAAGCATGAATAAATGGAATCAACAAGAATCCTCTCCCTAAATGTCTTTCAATAAAATGTGTCACCAAACAAGTTTCCTGTCTTTCCTAAAGAGAGTGTGATTTGAAAGTGACCTCACATGAGCCTTGATCATCGCAGTATATCAGGGTTAATCGTCCTGCTTCCGTGCCAGTTCCACTCTCACTTGGCAGCAAATAAACAGCCGCCCCGCAGATCTGCCCTTCCAGCCAGGTAAAGAACTCAGTGAGGAGGGGAGCCGCGAGGGGCGCGGCGGGCACAGAATCCTGAGCCACTTCCGCCCACAGCAGGGCAGACCCGGGCAGAGAAGGAGATGCGGCTTCATTCACGGCCTCCAACTCTGCGCGTCCAAAAGCCAAATGGGTCCGGAATAACTCGTCATTCCTCCTCGAGTGCCCTTGGCCGGCAGAAAGGGGAGCCAAAGAACGGGAATAAATGTTCTCCAGAGCGCCCCCCTTTCTGAGGAGTACCCAGAGGGGGACCCCTACTCCCAGCCAAGAAACTACAGGGTTAGGAAGGGGATCCATCCCCTCAGAGGCCCTGGGTGCCTTCCAGGGCCCATCTTTCTTCCTGCTCCTCAGAAGCCCGGGCCCCGCAGCTTCACAGGACAGTCTCTCGGATGACGCCAATGAGGCTGTGTGGCCTCTCAGCCTCCGCTCGCCGGGGCCTCCTCTCGGCTCTCGGCCTCCCCGCGGGGACAAAGGTGCTCAGGTCTCCGCAGCTCCGCAGGTGCAGCAGGCCAGGCTGTCTCCTCGAGGGCAGCACGAGGGCCCTGGAAGTGCTGGGCTGCATCGGGCCCATGATCTTTGGGAGAATAAACAGGGTGACAAAGAGATTAAGCTTCACCAGATGTGGTCCTCAGACCTGCCTCCTACATTAATCCATGTAATATTTAGTTTAGTCGCCTTGGGAGAGAAAAAAGGGTGTTTTCCCAAGGTGGAACCCACTTGGAATTCCAGTCTCTTAACATGTTGCCTCTTTCCTGAAGTTCCTAAGAAATACCCCAAATTTTCTATTGTTTCAGCTGTAGACCTACCATGCTTAATTATTTGTCTATTGCAATGTCCTGCTTTATATTTAACGTTCTTCTCATCACTTTTTCCCCAACTTCCCTGTGGTCTAAGCCACTGATTCTCACTGGGTCTGCACATCACGAGAGGGGAGGGGAGCCTGTCAGAAAAGTAGATTCCCTGCTCCCCCCTAGCAATTCTGACATGGGAATCTGGAACGGGGCTTGGGCATCTGTAGTTTTAACAAGAACTCAGGTGATCCCGATATACTTGAAAATTGTAAAGCCACCGGTCTGCTTAAGTTTATAACATGTCAGCTAAAACTAATGATGCTTCTAATTGATCTGATAACTCTTCAATTAAGAAAAAAACATGATAAACAACATAAAAACTAGGCCAATTTATTTGTAAAAGCTGTTAAGAATGTTTCTACTGCTAGATCTATTTTGCAATGCAGCACATACATAACTTTAAATATAACAGCAAAAATGGGCAATCCCCGATCCAACTGAGATTGATAAGAGGACAACTGCTGTGTACATACAGTTTTTAAAATTACACAGTCATGTCTGTATGACCTATATTGCTGTTAGCATGTTGGGAAAAACTCAAGTGATTTACTACCATCTAACATCACAGAACGATCATTGGGATGTCTTTTTGTTTAGTTTCCACCATTCTGAGACTTTAAGGTCATTCAAAGGTTAATCCCCCCAAAAGATGGGACATCAAATTTTTCTAACACTCTGTTATTATATTTGTCTTTAAGGCTGTTTTTGTTTCCTGAGTAAGAAGAAAATTCCAACATTCATAGATGTCTACTGTTATTACATGGTAAGTTAGGACAAGTGGTTTGGATATTGGTAAAAAATTAAAATGGATATAAAAACACATCCCAATAATACTAGAGAAGGTGAAAATGTGCAAAGCTGGGTAGAGTCAGAAATAAAAGCTCCCTTGCCCTCGTCCCTGCCTCCTTCTGTCTGGGGGATGGTGTGGCATTATGATACCTCACCACTGGGATCCCGTTCTGGAAGCCCCGGCAGATGGCCCAGAGTCTACTGCAACAATCCCTGTACCTGAATTTTGATCCAGTCTGTGCACAAAGACCTCGCAAACATTTATAGTGATAGCATCTGTTGAACTATAAGTGCTTGTTCTCTTTCCCCAAAGCTACTTTCCATCAAGCAAGACTTTGCAGAAGGTCCAGACCCACAGCTCTGCAGATGTTCCAGCTCTTACCTCACCAGAACTTGGCAGCTCCAAATACTTGCTTCTGTTTTTCAGGCAATTGGGGTGAACAGAGGGAAGGAGGCGGGGAATGACATCTGGAGGAGACCAGGGACATGTGCGTGTAAATCTCTCTCCTACACAGGCTACCAACTGGAGCCTGACCTAGGACTACTGGTTGACCACTTTTTTAGAAAGCAAACAACAAAAGGGCCCATGGTTCATGGACCTCTTCACACGAGTAATCAGACTGTTCTGCTCCCCACGGTCCCCTGAGGGACAGAATCTGGCTTCTGGCTTCTGTAAGAAGAGGCCAGCAGGTGGGAAGGGGAACAGAAAGGAAAGTGAGGTGGGGATTTGTTCAATCTGCCTGAAAAACGTACCTAGGATCCAGTATCTGGCAATGACCCTGAGAATCAGGCCAACTCCACTCAAGAAGTATTTGATGGGCACGTAATACCCACAGGCACAGCCGAGTAACACCCGTGAGCCACTGTGCACTGAGGTCTCCAACGGCCACCCCACAGACATGGAGCTACAGAGCAAACACCCAAAAGGTAAACGCTGCTTTTGAAAGAGGTGGGTGAGGAAAGCTGCGACCCATTCCCACTTCTCGTCAGAGGGAAATTCCATTCACTCAGAGATACGGGTGTAGAGACCACCTAGTCCAACACTTCACTTTAAAGACGAGAAACTTGACACGCAAGTGGAATATTTACGTGCCCGGTTTTATCTTTTCACAGGCTACTTGTTTGGGGATTGCCGTGTGTTTTTTAAGAAATGGAAGGGAAAAGGTGTTCGTTCCTTTAAGTCTATCAGCTTAGGTAATCTTGCCAAACATTTCATGGGAACGTGAACGGCTCCCAGAATCTTGCCAGTATTAAAATTCACATATGTCCATCATTGTTGAAGGGCTGAAAAAACATGCCAGATCAAGGGAAACGTTCAACTTAGGAAATGGAATGTTAAATGTACTCCACACTGCCCATAGCCCTTGCTTTCATCCCTGAGCTGCTCCCTTTTCTTTTTCCAAGCATGCTTCCATATCTCGGAAAAATCGGTTTCTCTTCTCTTGGGCCAAGAAGGCTGTGGCAAAGTCACATGTGAAAAGAAAGCACGCAACTTCCTCCTCTCCTTCCCCACACCTCCTAACCCCATTCCCCTTGATACAGTGACCATGGACTTTCTGTGCCTTCGACAGGAAACCAGAGAAGCCGCTTCAGCTGCTATGGAAACAAGTCATCGGATTCATGCCTGATATTAATAATAAAACTACCTGTTCTAGAAAACTGGCACTTGTGATGGCTTCCTCCATGTACTCCTCATCGGACTTCAAAACAGATTTAATGTTTTCTACAAGTTCATGGATGTCCGGGGTCATGCTGCAGGAGGACTGCTCCAGGAACCTCGCCACCAGCAACTTGGTGTCCATGTAAGATTTGTAATCTATTAAAGACCTTGGTCTGCATCTCGAAGCCCGGGATCTCAACCCTCTTCTCAAGGTCACCGCAGCCAGGTCTGGTCTTCCCTCAGTCTGAGTCGCGGCTTCACAGCTGAGCACGGGGACAGCTGTGGGCAGAGACAAACAACACGCACCTTTTGGCCAAGCCCCGTGAACACACATCTGTACTTGAAACAGCACAAACCACGAAATTCCATGTGGAAAACATGTGACAAATGCTGACGGCCATGCACATCTTGCTTTTCCTCTTGCAGGAGGAAAAAAAAGAAAAAAAAACCCTAACACCTACGACACGAGCTTACTCCTTGAAGTGTAATTTCAATAGGACACGTCCCCCAAATATTTTATTGTGCCACATAAAACGCAACCATCAAGGTAAAGAGAGATGACAGAGAAGAGCATCCAGAATGCAAATCATGATGGAGCAATGGTTTCATGGGGGTGATCACCAATACATAGGGATGGTTTGGGCAGGCAGAAAAAACACAGTTGACTGATGGAAGAATGTTCTGGGGAGAGGATGAAGAAGCCACAGGAAGAGAGGAACTGAGGAGAGACGAGACTTGTGGCATGAATGGAATGCTCTGCTCACACTGACTGTACCTTTGTCCTAAACATCCTCAGGGGCACTGTACTGACTTATAGTATCGACGTCACACCATGGCTGGGAGGCGGCGCTAGGGCTGACTATTACAGAAAGAGAAATCTAGTGCAGAAAAAGTACACGTCATTCTGGAAGTCAACAGAGGGCCTGGGAAATCCACCACAGGCTAATTTCCACAACTACTACTTCAGCAAGGGTATAAGGACTGGCAGAACATTACTGCACTGGCAGATGGGTAAAGCGAAATCAGGCCTGGTCTCCACATGTTCATAAGCCAGCCAGCAGCCTTCAGGGTACACGACACTGGAGATTTCAGTCTGTGAAGGTCTGACAAGCAGGAATTTAGATATTCAAGGAAGAAGGGAGGCGGGGGGTGGGAAAACAGGTGGAGGAAGGGGAGCATTCCTTTTCCTCTGGAGAAAGGCAGGCATGAGGAGTTCTAAACAGGGGTTGGCAGCCGTCTTCCTCGGCTGCCACGTGCACATCACAGAGAACCTGACTCTTCGCGGAACACTCACTACAGACACTCATGTGTGAGGACAGAGTCAGGGACTCCACTGTCGCTTGAAGGCGACCTGGTCCCTTCCACAGCAGAGGACTCCAACGGGTAAACACGTGTCATCCTTGCCCCTGCAGCGCTGCAGAAGGGGAGCGGGTTCTGGAAAGATCTCGTTAAGCTGTGTAGACAGCCAAGTTCCTGTGGAAGCTGCAGGTGGCCATCCCGAGTCCTCAGCTTGCCAGGTGGGGCAGAGAACCCCACGGTGAAGACAGGTCCGGGGAGCTGAGGGGCCAGAGGGCGCTCAGTCCCGGGCAGGACTCCTCCCCGCTCAGAAGCCGCTGGAGAGACAAGAGGAGTGTTCCCTCTGGCTCCCACACGGTCAGTCCAGAGCTGTAGCAAACAACACAGGCTGTCAGAGGGACAGAATACAACTAGGAGGTGACGTGGGGCCCGGGACAGAGCAGGACCAGAGGGTCTGCAAAGCTGTATTTGCACAGAGCTTGAAGACAGCATAGGCAACTTGTTAGGACAAGTCACCGAAAGAAGCCTGTGCTGGTGGGATTACAGACTTTCATTTTCTTCCTTTATTTCCTCTATTTTTTTACAATTCTCTACAAGGAAGAGGTATTTGAAGATGTTCAGGCAGTCATATATTCAGAAAAGAAGATTCAATGTTATTTTCAGTTAAAAAAATTTTTTAATTAAAAAAATTTAAAATTTAAAATTATTCAAATAACATCTATACACAAACAAACTCAAAACAGAAAGGGAGAGAGATGGAGTGTGAGAGCTTCGCTCTATCCAAAGTTCTTAAAGCAAGGTCAGATTTAAATAATTCAATCTACTCATGCACAGTAAAAAGATAACTAGTGTTGAATTTCAGAAGAGGGTGGTAAAAAATACACCCCTTTGACTTTTTCCTGGAGAGAGAATGTTCTCTCCCACAGGACTGGGAGCATCTAGGAATCAGAACTAGGTTTGCACTGTTTTCTTCGTGTGGTACCCAGCACAGTATCACGTGCAACCAAACGCTTCTGATGACAGTGACTTGACAAGAAAAATTCTTACCAGCCTTAAAAGACATGGTAGATGTCTACCCTTAACGTGCATGCAGAATACCTGATTTTCCCAAGACCTGTCAGCCCCCCTCCAAGCTCTCTCTTGAACCCCAGGGCCTTGGGTGGCCAGAGCCACTCGGCACCTATAGGCGGACAAGCACAGTGCCCTGCGAAGAACTTGGGAAATGACATCACCTCTCTCTGCAGAATGATGAAGCACAGGGTCACTCTTGGATCTCGTCCTCGGGGGCTGGAGAGCTCTCCGGTTCCTCGCCGGACACAGCTGGTTGGAGCTGGGAGTTGAAATGGCTGCGCCTTCTTCTCTAGGTGTGTTAGGAATGTCCCCACCTGATTTTTTTTTTTTTTTTTTAAAGAGGAGAAACAGAAATCATTTCTGTTCAGCTGGCACCTTCAACATGCTGGGCAGGAAACACCTGTGAGCCCAAACCTTCTGGGACAAGGGTAATACAGTTCATAATATTTGCTTAGGCTGTGGGCCCAGTAAGTTTTTATCTTGCAGCGCGTGGGAAATGCTGCCTCCTCAAACTACCCCTCCACACCTAAAACAAACAAAAAGCTCTAAATCCAGGAGCAGAAAAAGAAGCCATGCTAAAATGCCTAAAGGTGCTTGGCGTCTTCTCCAGTGGAGCAGCCTCGTGCAGCATCGGAAAGGTCCTAGCCGTTTTACCCTTTCTGACAACTCAGGCTGACCTTGATTAGGTGGAAGGTGATGGGGGTACAGGCGGGGTGGCTGCCCTGGGGCTGCAGGCCAAATGCAAGCAGAGGGTGTGTCTACGGGCTAGGCTGGGAAACTCCCGGAAAGCCAAGTTAAAGAGCCAGTGGCCACTAAATGAATCAAAGCACTCTGGAACTGGATGACTGCTGTTCAGGAAAATAAAGTCCCATCACTTGTGAGCCTGACTCGTGGTTTGGGAAACTTTTTTAAGAAATGTAAGAATTAAAAACATACTTAGGAAACAGAGCCCTGCTGCATAATTCTACTTAAGATGGAAGGTGAACAGAGCAGAAATCCATTCTAAATGGCGCTGCTGAAAAATTACCTCCACCTAAAATAGCTGAAAGTTGATCCATTATTTATCACCATTTGCAATTTTGTCCTGTGGACAGTTCTCTGGGCCATTTAAAACCTCTCCAAAGAGAGAAAGCGGTAACAATGTTCCCTTAAGTTACAAGGATAACTGTAAACGGACTCTAGTATTTAATGCAGGATTGCAAATCAGCATTTAGTACATGTGAAGGTAGTATGACCTGGGTCCTTAGTTATAAATGAGCAAATCACTCTGCAATAGGTAAAACTCTTTTTGTCTCTTTACAAGAGCTTATCTTATTTTAACAGGAGAAAAAAAATCTTAGATCAGAAAACACAGGAAAACCAAATTAAACTCTGTAATCCATTTCTGAAAAGTCTGGTTATTCATAAAAGATTCTAAAGATATCTTTATTTCTGTTCACATATTATTTCCTACTTGTAAGCCCTAAGAGTTGATAATATTTTTATACCCAGAAAAAAGGATATAGCTTGAACCATTTGCTCCAAGAATATTTGACCTCCAACAAAATATCATACAGATGATTATTTTACCATTTTTAGTCTACTGAATCATGAGTTTGGGCAGCAATAATGTATTTATTACCTTGAATCACCGGCATGCAGATCGGTTCCAAAGGGCTGCTGGCAGCTCCTGATCCTTCTGGCATTTGGAATGAAGATCCCTGCAACACAGGAAAACAGAGTGTTGTCTGTTGATATTCAGCTCAGCCACCATCTGGACTGAACTTGAAAAGATCTACAGGGCATGGTCCCTTCCCCACCCCGCTCTCTGTGTGGCTGCTTTTCCTACTTGCCGTCAATGTACCAAAGAGAAACTCTATGGACAGTACCTGCTGCTGGTCCGTCTGGCTCACCACAGCTTCATAGGGAGGCGGGGGGTCCAGAGGACAGAACACTTCCACGCCTTTGATTCGCGCTCCGTAGATATGTGGCAGTGGTATAACATCAGGACCAACCATCCTAGGAAGAGCATCCTGGCATCAGGAAGCGTGTTCTGGCCATCTGACGGTAATGTCTCTAGCATACTGGCCTTCACCTCTAGAGGGTTATCCACTGACAATGGGGAAACTCACTCGCCGCTCCACGCTACAACCTCCTGGTCCAGGAGCAGGGGAATAACCTAAGCTGCTCTCGGATGGAGTGCCCAGAATTCTTAGGCAAGTGACAACATAGAAAATGCAATACCATCATTCCTTTTAAATTTACTAGTCAAAGAGCAAACAACAATCCAAAAGAGACAGAAAGCGAATTAGTGGTTGCACAGGGGCTTGGGGAAAGGGGGGGACGGGGAGTGACTGCTTAATGGGTACGGGGTCTCCTTGGAGGTGAGGAAAATGCTTTAGAACTAGACGGAAGTGATGGTTGCACCATATTGTGAATGTACTAAATGCCACTGAATTATACACTTTCAAAAGATTAATTTCATGTTATGTGAATTTTACCTCAATAAAAAACAAACAAACAAACAAAGGATTCAGGGAAACTCAATTATTTGTTACATTAGTACATGACAAAAGTTTCTTGCCCGGGTTTCCCTCACGTCTGATTCATGGTAGAAACTCACTATTTGTTAAATAAATGTTTGAAATAATGAATACATTTTTCAAAAAAAAAGTGAACAACATCACAGCTAAGAGACAAAGCAGCAGTGCTGCAGGAGGAATCACAGAGTGCCTCTTCCTAAAGGTGGTCATTCAACAAACACTGATGGAGCGCTTGCTGTAGCTGTGGCTGTTGGCCTGTGGGTGAGAGACCTTTGATAGCAAAAAATAAAAACAAAAAACCCACAAGATTTTCCGCCAGCATTCACAGAAGGTTACACACACACACAAATTATCTAGATAACAAAGAACCTAAATTTGAAAACGACAGTTAAAAATACATGAAAGTTTGTACCTTAGGACAAAACTTCCAGTTATAAAATACACGCAGATAAGTCCTGGGGATGTAATACACGGCATGGTGACTACGGTTAATAATACTGCATGGTGTATTTGAAAGTTGTTAAGAGAGTAGGTCGTAAAAGTTCTCATCACAAGAAAAAAAAAAAAACTTGTAACTATATGTAGTGATGGGTTAACTAGATTTATTGTGGTGATCATTTGACAATATATACAAGTGTTAAATCATTACTTGTTTACCTGTAACTAATACAATGTTATATGTCAATTATATCACAACTTTAAAAATACACAGAAGACAAAAAAAACTGTACTCAGGCCATGAAGTGTTGGGGAATGAAAAAAAGATAATAGCAAAAGTTTAACATTTGTTCTTGAAATGCAAAAATGTACATAAACTAAAGGAGACTGATGAAAAGACAAATTCTGGGACCAATTGCCTACAAGGGACTGCTTTTGTTTTGTTTTGTTTTGTTTTCAACTGCATTTACGGTTGTTTCATTTGTGCCCATTTACAAAAATGCAATTGGTGGAAGAAAAAAATTGAAAAAGATGTGATATTCTGTCTTCCTAACAATAAAACTTCTGGAGTCTGGGATTTAGAAGGATGAGACTCCTACAGCCTGAATGAAAAAGTGAGAAAGTGCTCCCCTTTTTTCCTGCATCTTTATTCAAAAACAAGACTCTCAGCTCGTGCTTGACCTGAGAGGAAGGGAGAAGGTCACGTGCTGACACCCCAGGCAGGGATGTGTGCAGGCTCAGCACATCTGAGGAGAGGCACCTGCAGGAGCGGTCCCTCCCTAGCCTGGCTGGGAGGGGTCCTGGTAAAGTCATCAAGAAAGGGATATTCTTCTCCCTTAGAGGAGGACTTGCCCACGGGTTTCACGCCAACTCTCCATTCCAGCTGAAGCTGTTGAAGAACTATAAACACCAAGTGACTCCAGGAATACAGACCCTTTGTGGACCTGACTTTGAAGACTTTCCTGACCAATGAACAAGGCAACTTGTTTTACTCACTGAGACCTATGCACTCCTTCCTTCGGCTCCAGAGGGCCAATCTTTAATCCTTAATTAGCATAATCCTGTGAGCATCTTTCCGGCATTTACAATCCCCCCTCAGCCAACTCCCCACGCGTTTCTTCACTGTGGTGTCCTTGCCTGGAAAGTTCATCCCCCAGCTTTGCTTGTTAGCTCTGGTGCTGTATATTTCATATTCCCAACCCAGTGGCTACCTATATGTTCCTATAGAAGAGAGAGGGCTTGCTTAGGACCAAGAAGTGGGAGGAACGGGCTTCACTTTAGATCCTAAACTACTACAGAATCTCTTCAAGAAGGAAAACTGGGGGGAGAAAGGGGGTACACTTTATCTAAATTGGCTGAAAAATGAATGGCTTCTATGGTGGTTATTACAATGACCAGCAAAGCCTCGTTTAGATGGAAGATGCTGCTAGAGTTGATGCAGCAGGAAAGTTCCTTTCCTACTAAGCAACTTTTCCTTATTTGTACCACTTTTGGGTAAATAAGGATCCATGGAGGGAAACAGGTCTGTTTGCTACAGGTTTTGTTCGTGATCCCTTATGGTACTCAACCCAGCTATAGAGCAGAATCACCCAGGAGGGTTCCTAAACTGGGCATGGCCCAGGCCTTACCTCTAGAAACTCTGCCCTAGTTGCCTGTGGTGGTACCCAGGTATCTGTATGCTGTCAGTGCTCCCAGGTGGTTGCAAGGCACAGCCAGGACTGAGACCACTGCTATGCAAAATGGATTATGGTGGTTGAAATCAAAACCCTGTTATAGCTGGGAAAGGTGATCAAACTTTTACTGAAAATGAGTGTCTTTAGAAAACTGTTGCCTGATAAGGTAGGGGTAAGATTAAGGGCTAAATGTTTCTTAAGAGTAAGAAACATGCCAAGAACATCTGAAACCATGCAACTAACAATGGTAGAGCACGGTCCAAAGCTTTTGCCTGTAGAAAGATTTTTTTAGCCCATTATCTCATAACAATCCTCTCAGGAGTCACATGACAAGGCAGGTGAATGAGGAAACTGAGGCTCAGAAATGGTAAGAGATCCACCCAAGGTGACCCTTTTAAGAGACTCCAGAGCCTGGGCTTATTCAAATTCATCCCAAAGTCTCCAGGAAACCTTCGCTGGTTCATGCTCATGAGACCTCAAGATGAACAGGAAACCCAAACAGATCATGCAAAATACGTTCTGCTTTGATGCTACAAATAGGCCCTGAGAACTTATCCGAGGCTGATGGAGCAACTAATATGACCTTGACCAAAGAACGATCCTCCTCTGTGTGCTGAGAGAGCTTGGCCCTTCCACGGGGCACATGTTGGTAGGGGTGTGGGAGTGGGGAGTGAGGCAGGGTCGCCCAGCCCAAAGCTGAGCACAGAGTCAAGCCTAGGCACAGCCCAGCTCCACTTGAGTTTGGGTTTTGAAGTTCATTTGGAAAGGAAATGGGTGGGCCTTGTTGCTTTCACCTTTAAGAAATGCCCAGGTCAACCTGGCTCCCATGCGCTCATCTTCAGTTTTCTCTAGCAGGTAACATCCCCACAGTATAACCAGGTCCACATTCACGAATTAGGTTGGAGACTTTCCTTTTTGACTCCTGGCTCAAGCCAATTTCTGAGACTGGGGGACTCCCTGGAGTAGAGGAGATGGGGTACACAGCCCCCTCCAGTACTTACAAATTGATTCACAAAGTAGATAACCATCTTTGGATAGAAGCCTTGACTGCAATCAGGCTTCTACTTATGAGAGTAACTTGAGAAGCCCTTTTTCAAGGAGATACCAATGCATGAAATGGTTGTATTTATAGAAGTTAAATAAATAAAGCTCTTCTGAGAGGTCCTAATACCTTACAGGAAAACGGGTGCCTGTATTACGTGAAAACTCTTAACATAACTGATTGTGGAAATATTAATGATAAACATCTGTTAATATTCTTGCCTGCCTGCTTATAAGAAAGAAAATTATCAATTGGGGTTAAACAGCTAGTGTCTATGATGTTGATTTATACTGAGAATCTAGCAAAGTCAGTCAAATTTAAAAATATCTCTGATAGAATACGTATCTAAAGGTGAATAAATTTAGCTGTTTAAAAAAGGAGAAGTGGGCAAGGGGCAGGGGGGGAGACAGGGGCATGGGATTAAGAGACACAAACCACTATGTATAAAATAGATAAGCAGCACAAAATATTGTACAGCACAGGGAAATACAGCCATTGTTTTGTAATAACTTTAAATGGAATATGACTATAAAAATATTGAATCACTATGTTGTACACCTGAAACTAATACAACATTGTAAATCAACTACAATTTTTAAAATATACATAAAATGTTAAAAAAAAAAGTGGCTGCATTCAGATATTGTAGAATTTTAGAAAATGAGGCTATTTGCCCATTGGAGATATGAGCTAGTGCTCCAGATATATACTTTAGGCCAAGCATTCTTGTTCTCTCAAGGGTGCTCTGCATAACCCCCTCCCCCACGTTCCTCTGGGAAGTTCTGGTTGGTAGAGCCCTTGATGACAAGCTCGTCTGTCTTCTTCCAGCTCAGACTTGGCCAGGGGCTGGCTCAGAGCTCAGAGGGGCAAATCCAGGGATGCACCCAGATGCTCAAAGACCCACAGTGATAAGCATGACTATGGAGGTGCAGAGAAGAGAAAGGAAAGAGGCAAGAAGGCCGGGGGATCCCACAGGTCAGCACTACTTCTAAACCCACATGACTTACTTTCCCTTTCTGCCACAGCATGAAATTAAATGTCTGCTGCCTCCTCTTAGGTCAACCAAGTGCTCACCCGCAACCTCAGAGAGCCAAGGAACTCTTCTTGAAGAGGGCATTTCTCTCCCCAACCATGAAGTAACAGGCACTTGTACTGTCCTTCAGTGTGCACTCTGCAGACAGCCTGAGATTGGGCTACGTTTTTAGCAACCGTGTCCTATGGTACACAAAGAGTATGTGTTTTGTTGCTATGTCCCTCTGGCCTCTGTAATTCTTGGCTCATTTCCTAAACGACCAGCGAAGCCATCCTGGCCCCTGAAGCTTCGAAATTCCAGCCCACCAGTCCCTGTACAAGAGGGAGGCTGAGCTGTCCCCCAAGCCATCTGTCCACCCAGCTGATGTCCTTTCCAGCTTTGCGGTCATCTCTTATTTCCGCCGAGGTGGGTGGGCAGGGGAGGGGCTCGAGTGGGGTTTAGATACGAGTCTGAGGGACAAGTCAGGAAGATAACCCATTGAAAAGAACATTAACAGTGTCTGGGTGGGAGCTCCCACTGGTGAGCTCTTTCAAAATGACATGTGGCTGCCCTGAGCACTAGAAAATGGATTTCCAAAAACCCCAAGCCTGACATCAAATTTGTCTGACAACTCTCCACGTGTACCTCAGGGTTAAAAAGTAGAAATTCCAAGCCCTCTCAACAGCAAGGGAAAGACACTAGTCTTTCTTGTAGAATTCAGAGATTTGTTGTTTAGAAGTTTAAATGTAGGGTTTAAGTTTAAATGTAGGGTTGCTTTAGCCTTTAAATTCGGAGTAAGATCATCACTTCATCCTTGAAGCCAACCCTGACCAGCTGACTCCTCCTTCAAGCTCTCTGCAGCCCACTCACCAGTCTAGGTTAGGAAGTCCTCCTCTTGCACTCAAAATCTCCCTTTTGAGTACTACTGTGATCCTTTCAACACTCATTTTTAATGACCTAGACTGTGAGCTCCCTGATAGGGGGAGGAAGTTGGTATAACTCATTTTGAATTCCAATAACCCAGCACAGTAACTAGTAAGCAGCAGAGGATGGAGTAAATGTTTGTTGAATGAATAAATGAAGTTATTCTTTAGAATGGTACAATTCTAGAAGTGGCTAACAACCAAATGAATGCATGCAGCACTTCATTCTACAAATAATGATTTCTAAGATTTAAGAAACAGACGATCAAATTTCGAGCTAGAATTTGAAAAGGAGAAAAAACACGGTATCTATTTTTTTTCTAGACCAAGGAGATGTAATTAATAATTAACGTTTTTTTAATGGCTGGGAAGAAGTTCATGATTTGAGGACCTGCTGATGGTTTACAATGAATATCGATTTGGCCCGACTGAGAGCGTTTCCAGGGCAACAGCAGTTTTCAATCATGTCAAATTACAGCAGTTATCTCACTGGGTGTCAGTTTTCCTAAGAAGCTAATTGAAATTGAAAAACTATATCCTTAGGTCAAGGTTTGACTTTTCTTTGGTTTCATGCAATTTGTCAGACCAAAAAAGAGAGAGAAAACCCGGACGATCCTGGAAAATAATACAATGTCTAGATTTTGGAGAGAAGTCAGAGCCCATGCTGTGAGTTCTGGAGACCCTTCGGCCTCAAAACTGAGAGCAGCCCAGAGACCTGGGCGGGGGTATGTAGGGAGGATACCTGCGGTTCGTCCGGGGTGTGCACGAGTAAAACGTGGCGAAATAGGAAGGGGGAGGCACTGGCGGCACAAAGTCGTCAGGGTCTGGGATGCGTCTGTGTTCCTCCACTTCTTCCGCAGAAATCTGTGATTCATCCTAATTAAACAGCACCTCGGTTAGTCAACAGCTCGGGGAGAAAAGCAACGGATGACACAACAAGGTCCGAGGGTGGGATCAGTGGAGTCACAGACACCCTGCCGCCTTGCATGGACTTACGACGCAGGATCTTCTGGCTGCAAAGATCTGAAGGTAGCGAAGGGCGGCTGCCACCAAGCAGACGGTGGTGGTCAGGGCATTCAAGGCACACAGGGCGAAAAGGACTTTCTGGAACCAGGAAACAAGGACGCACCTGAGTACCTCAAAACTGAGGACCAGAACGCAACATAAAAACTTTAAAAAATAATAATAATACTGCCCCAAGGAAGACAATTCCCATGAGAAAATGCATGTAAAGGACTTAGATGGTGTTTGGCTCATGCTGGGTGCCAAACACACACTGGTTATTATTAACACTGTCATGCAATAGTGTGTACTTCTTAATTTTAAAAACTTATCTTAGAAGATTCTTGTTCCGGGCAGACCTGGTATTACCATATTTCTTTTTGCATCAGAATCCTGTCTGGAAATATCCCTTCCAGCAAAGTACTGAATTTCTCTTCTGAAGTCAGCGTACCCAGTGATAGCAAATCCCAACCTCCCCCCTCCCACAGACTCCCACCAGGACAGCACGCTGCTTAATTCGTGGCCACTGATTCTATTTCAGGAGCCACTGGCAGAGCTGCCCCGGGCACCCAATGAAGACAACACAGGGGGCAGGCTGGCCCGAGTGTCAACAGGGCTTGTCTCCTCTAAACACATGTCTCAAAATAGCAGCAAAGCCAATTCCAAAAGTTTCTGTTGCCACAGTCCTGGCTGCTTGGCGGGGCTTTCCCCAAGCAAAGTCCTGGCTCAGAAAGTTTGGGAGTGACTCAGCTACCGAAAATCCAGAAGCCAAAGAAAGAAGGCCATTTTCACATCCTCCAAAACTGAGAGAGCTGACAGTTTCTCTCTCTTTGCTTAGAGACTCCTCTTCCCCACGAGAAAATAAACCCAAAACAAAGATCTAAAGAAAGCCATCAGTGACGGACCATCCAAAAGCTAGTATCTCAGGGTTCACCAACTGAGCTTGTCACTCACTGGGCTAACAGACCTTAAGTCAGGACGTGATTTTTATCCAATTCCCTAATAAAGGTTAATTTTGTATTTCTCTTCAGCTGGTATCATTTGCTTTTCATCTCTTTCGCTTAGTATAGTTGCGGCCTATTAAACAATAGGTAGTGTCTTGACTTTCTCTTGTACTTTCTGGCCAATACATCTCCTTAGTCTATGTGTTTTAGAACGGCAGCACTCAACAGCCTACAGGATTCATTTAAGCCAACAAAGGAGCATTAGAACAATAACAAATGGGCATGGACTTTAGAGGTTCTGCTAAAACTACATCTTATATGTGTAGCGACATCATGGGTGTGTATGTGTGCATATGTGTGCGTGTATATGTAAATTCACATACGTACACATATACATGTGTATGCATTTAGGCTCCTTTACATTTTTTACTAGCTTATAATTCTTGAGCACAAAGAAGCTATCCATTCATAACTTAAGAGAAACACTATAATCTGTGGGTTCTCAATTCTTTCTCTAGGTCACTGATAAGGAGTCTCTCATATCTGCTTTCAATAGGATTATTTGAAGGAGGTAAAAAAGGAGGAATATTTCAGGGAGCTTTGCCTTCCTTGGGGTCTCTGTGGTGTAGTTACTGGTGGGGGATGGAATCTATTCCAGATACCTTGAGTAGAAGGTGAACAGCACTACAAGGCTGAACTGGGAAGAGTTTCAAGGCATTTTCTTTGTCTGTGCATTTGGCTGGTTGAAATTCTTCACAACAGAAGCAAATCTTGCCTTCACCTAAATCCACCTTAAGGGGAAAAGGCAGAACAACAATTTAATTATTAAGTAAGAATACACAGGCCACACCATGGAACACCAATCCTACAGAATGAGACATGGCAGGGTTCAGTGTCAGGCAACGTCTACATCAGTCAGGACAGCCTAGGGTATGCTGGGTAACAACCAGCCCCCAAATTTCAGTGGCTTAATCAACCAAGGTTATTTCTTGACTATGCTACATGTCCACTGCAGGTCAGCAGAGGGCTCTGCTCATCATATTCCCTTAGGGACCGAAGTTGATGGAGCATCTACTATCTGAGGATTGAGGGTCACTATGCTAGAGACATGGAGAGCACATGATGAATTGCACATGGGCACTTAAAGCAGGTTTACAAGGTAAAAGGTAGGACACTCAGTTAAATTTGAATTCAGATAAACAGGTCATTCCTTAGGGTCAGTATGTCCCAAATATTGCATGAGATGTGTTTATAGTAAAAAACTATTACTCTTTATTTGAAATTCAAATTTAATTTGGCGTCCTGTGTTTTCACTTGCTAAATCTGGTCACCCTAGCTTAAATCTTCCTCTTGGAAATGACACTCCTCACACAATGACACTCCAAAGTAAATCATATGGCTCCACTTAATCCAAGAGGGCAAGGAAGTTCACTCTACCACATGCCTGGAAGAAGCACAAGGTCTATTTGGTGAACAGTAGCCCTAAACCATGTAGGCTTAAAGAGATCTCTTAGTTCACATCTTCAGTGTGTTCACAGAGTCTAGTAGAAGTTTTCTTTATTTGAAGTGATACAATTACTGATGAATAATCTCATATATTTTTAGTGAGATGCTTTGCAAACTTTGGGTCACTTTTCCAAGTTTCCATTGAGTCAGGTTGGGAACATATGAACTAGCTGATTTGGGCTAATAAGACCCATAATTTGGGAGCAGAGGTTCATTCTTACTTGCTCTGCAGCTTGAGCTGTTAAAGTTGGCTATTCTATTTTGGCTAAAAAGAAAGGCCACACCTCTTTCATACTTGTTCAATTAAATAGGCGGCTTTGACTTCACTAGCTGCAAAATTCTGCAGGAATCTTTAAGAATGACTGAACATTTACAATGCTTTTGTTGCTTAACAGAAAAAAAAAAAGCCTTTTTTCTCATTGAATTAAGATTCTTATCCTCTAGTCATAGTGGAAAATTTCATGGTAGTTTCCATATAAGGAGGAAACTTAGTTCCTTCTAATATAAGTTGACTAGGAAGCCAAAGGGAAAAATTTGTACCACTGGATTACACAATTTTTGGTTTGGTATTCTTTTTCTTTTGAACTGCAATTTACATACACAAATCATAAGCATACCATTCAAGGAATTTAGAGCCATGCATATCCCTCTGTAACCCAAACCCTTATCAACATACAGAACATACCATCACCAGAGAGAATTCCTTCACGTCCCTTCCTATGGACCCCTGCCCACACCCTCCAAAGAGACAACCACTGTTTGGATATTTTTTCCATATAGATTAGTTTTGCCTCTTACAGAATTCCACGAATCCTAGAACATTTTTTATTCCTTGTCCTTAAATCATATTGAAAGGGACGCATTACTCAAATAAACACGGATGCCCAGATTTTTTATAAATTTTGCCTCTGATACAAAGAATTACAACTAGAGTTACCTCGATGGCCTCCATAATCGATCAATTCACAACTACTTTGGTTTCTGTCTTTTCCTGGTTTGTCCACAAGAGATTGTTATCTCAGCGATGTCCCCACACCTAGATCCACGACTCCACACACAAAGGCACAAGGCTGTTTCTGTTTGAATTTTTCTTTCATTGTCTCACATTTTTGAAGGTACATCCTGCTGCTAATATCTAGATTCTTGGCTTCTAAAGGAAAACTTCTGTGGTCATTCAGACAGGACTTCCCTAGGCAGGTGGGAACTATTCTTTCCCCTCAGGGATCGCTGACTTTCTCTTCGCTGCTCTTCCATAGTTAATCATATCCTTACACCAGGCTAAATTCATAAGGTAAATATTACTCCCAATGGGCTTCCTCCTTGAAAGTCTCCTGCTGAGAACTTCCTGTTTTAATACTAACAGCATTATTTAGTATAACAAAGAAGCACCTAATAGAGATGATTCATTCTTCTCATGTCTCCATTCTGTTCATGTACACAAGGCCCTCTCTCACCAAGCAGGAACCAAGCTCACGTTTTTCAACGCGACACAGTGCAATTTCCATTTCTTACATTGTATAAGCCTCAAGATCTTACCTGAGGACTTCACCTCCCCTAGGTAAGACTAGGTGTCATCTTACAAAGTACTCCCTTCCCACATGAGTCCATTCTTAATCCAAGGCATTATTTTAAAACAGAAACCAATCCTGTGTGGGCTGCACATACAGAAACCTCAGCTCTCTGGAAACTTTGGATGGCAAGATTTTCCAGGTAAGTGATAATTAATCCCTTTAAAGAAAGGATCTTATCTGAAAGTTAATCACTATGCAAACAATAATGAATATCTATCACTGTGCCCAGCTGATATAGGAAAGCCCTGAGGCTTCGTGCAAAATGATTCTAGGCAACCGTGCCTTTTGTGTTCCTCATTCTTCCTGTTTCTGACCCTTCACCTGCTTTCTTAATCCCATCTGCCCAATATTTCTGAAAACTTATTCTAACTTCTCTTCAATGTCTTTAACCATCTGCAAACAACCCTGTCGAATCTCCCCATTCTTAAATGAAAAACATCCCTCTTTCATACTTGATACTGTTACCTGAAGCTGTCAGATCCTCTCCTTCCTCCCGTCATCAATCACTATCATGGCTCTCTATCCTAGCTGCACATTAGAATCTTCTGGGAAGATTTCCCCAAAATGACGATGCCATCTTTAGCAACTAGGGAACTGCAAATTAAAGTAATGATGAGATCTTGACTTAGCCCCATCAGACTGGCAAAAAATTAGAGGGTAACACTTGTTGTAGGTAGAGGGTTACCGGTAGAAATGTAAGTTAAAGCTCTTTAATAAAGGAACTGTCCATACATTTTAAATTAAATATACTTATTCCCAACCACTTCGGAAAACCGTTGAGCAGTTTCTTTTAAAGTTAGACATACGTTTACCACATGACCCAGCAATTCCATACTTATGTATTTACTCAAGAGAAATGCAAACAGGTCCCCAAAAAACATTATCAAAAATGTTCACAACAGCTTTGTTCATAACACCCCTAAACTGGAAACAACCCAAATGCCCATCAACAGGAGAACTGATAAAACAAACTGTGCTATTTTTATACAATGAAATATTGCCCTGATTAAGAAAAGAGAGTGAGAAGGGAAGAGCAAACAACTGATATGACCCAAAAACATGGATGAATCTCAAAAACATCATGCTGAGCTAAATAAGTCAGACACAAAAAGGTACATGACTCCACCTGCATGAAGTTCAAGAACAGACGAAACTAATCTATGGTGAAAGAAACTGGAACAGTGGTTGCCTATGAGAGAGTTGAGACTGCCTGAAAGAAGACAGCAAATAACTTTCTAAAGTGATAAAAATGCTCTAGATTTTGTCTGGGGTGTACACATGAGTGTATTTGTCATGATGAATGTATACTTTGGTCAAAACTTAATGAACTGCACACTTGAGATCTGGTCATTTTGCTATAGATTTTATCTCAGTTTTTTAAAAAATGGATAGAATCATCAAATGGTTGAATGTGCTATAAAAAAAAAATGAGATAAACAGAAGAACAATCCTTGTCCTGGGAGCCTGCTCCGCTTAGGTCACAGCCCCGATGGAGATCTGCAGAATAGTATTCATAGCAGCACTGCTTCTATCTGTCAAAACCCAAACCACAACGGACAACAAGAAAATAGACAACTGACTTGTTCAAAGGAAAAAAGGGTGTTAGAGCTGTACCTAATATATCTTTAAGTGAGAAAAACAACATGCAGGGAAGTGGATACAAAAGCTCCCATTTCTGAAGAATAAGTAGTGAACAACCCCACCCCATACACATCTACATAAGGTTACATGAGCATGAAACATGAAAGGAAATCCCCCAGCTTGTTACGGTGGATTCAGGGTGACTGGGGTAGATGGTGAGGCAAAGAGGGAAGGAGACAATCCCTTCAGAAAGGCTCCACTTGCCAAATACGTTCCCTAATGAAAAACAATTACAGAAAGACTCCACTTGCCAAATACGTTCCCTAATGAAAAACAATTACAATATGGTCCTGTTGATGAAAAATCAGGTGTATTTTTATCCATAAAAACAGTGCAAAAAACCTGTCAAATGGTTAACTATGATGTCCCCAAACAGTGAGATTTCAAATGATTTTTAAGTTCCATCCTACACTTTTATGGCTTGTCCAATTATATAATTAGAAACACTCCCAGAGTTGGTTTTGTGGTGGGAAAATTTTTTAATTAAAAATACACTTTAAAACTTAAAAAAATACTGATGCTAAGACCCCCACTCCAGGGCAGTTGAGAATCTGAGTATGGGGCCCAAGTCTGGGTATTCTTTAAAAAGTTCCCTTAGGGGGCTTCCCTGGTGGCGCACTGGTTGAGAGTCCGCCTGCCGATGCAGGGGACACGGGTTCGTGCCCCGGTCCGGGAGGATCCCACATGCCGCGGAGCGGCTGGGCCCGTGAGCCATGGCCGCTGAGCCTGCGCGTCCCGAGCCTGTGCTCCGCAACGGGAGAGGCCACAACAGTGAGAGGCCCGTGTACCGCAAAAAAAAAAAAAAAAAAAAAAAAAGTTCCCTTAGGTGATTCTAACAGGGAGTCAGGGTAGAGAAGCAGAGAATTTCTCAGAAAAGTCAACCACATAGACCCTTATGCCTTGTAATTTGGCTTCTGTTTGTTCCAGAGCCAACAGTGATCTAACCACTCAGGCTAACTAACTACTAACTAACCACTGCCCTTGGAATCCTCTCCTCTCCTGGCTTCGACCCACTCCCTTTATTTATTTATTGTTCAAGGCCCATCTCAAATACCTACGTTCCAGGTATCCTTTTCCCGTCTTCCCAAGAGTAGAAGTCCTTCTTCTTTTGCACCCCCAGAACACTGTGTCTCACTCTGATGGCTGATCACAGACTCCTTTGCTTTGCAGTTGGGCATTTCTTCATTCCCTCCACAAACACTGATCAAGCACCTGCCATGGTTATCCCACTCCTCTTGCTACATGATAAACGTCTAGGTCAGAAACGATGTCTGACTTTTCTTTCTACTCTCTGCAGTTTCTAGCATGGGGTCTTGCATATAATAGATGCTACTCTTTTATCGAACTGTCTTTTAAAATATTATGACTTTTCACTTCTAGCCTGTCTGTTCTCTTTGCCCCTTCCAATTTTCTGTGTAATTAGTAACAGGAAGAACAAGCCTTGTTTAAAATTTATTTTCTGGGAACTCTATGTATGTAAAGCAGTCTGTGGGAGGTGCTGTTGAAAACTCCCAAGAAAATACAGAGCCAGACACTGTTCTTAGGAAGATTCCAGACCAGGAGAAGAGAGAAGAAAGGTATATGAATACCTTGAGTCCAAAAAAGGAAAGAGAAATGCTTCAGAGATGTACAGATAGGAATTCTGGAAGATTACCTTTCCTGGGGATCAGGGACTATTTCCTTAAGAAGATCATTGTTGAATGAGGCTTTAAAAGGCTGACACCATTTGGATGAACAGGGATGTAAGGGACAGGGAATGGTCGGGGGAGAGACAGCATTGTCAGAAACAGGAAAGTAGGGCAGGAGCTTGGGTAATGACATGCGGGCTCGGGCTCCATTACAGGGAGTGTGAGTTGCTGCAGCAGGAGAGCAGGATGAGGGCAAATGATACAGGGCCTTAAAAACCAGAAAACATCGTGAGCCTGTGCTTCCAAAACTTACACTTATTAAGTGAGGGAATGGCAAAAATCAAACAAATTTGTGAAGGGTTGTTAAGGAAGAGCAATAGGTTTTTAGTGAGTCCAGGAGGAGCCTTCCTATCTGGGAAGGCCATGAGTTTCACTGCAAGGACCTGGTCACAGTGTTTTGAGAAATGTGGCAGCCTTCTTCACTCGCATCCTGCTGGTTTTGAAAGGGCGAGATTGCCATGGAACCAAGTTCCAAATAGATGAGGTTTACTACAACCTGTAAAGAGTCCACTTCTTTTGCTTTGTGCCACAGGGAGATATTTGTTACAGAAAAGTCCTCTTAAAAAGTTCAGAGATGGCCAACAATTCCACCTTCCAGGTACATATTCCAGAGAACTGATCCATTTCCGTGGCAGCATTGTTCACAATAGCCAAAAGGTGGAAAGAACCCCAGTGCCCTCCGATGGACGAAGGGTAAACAAAATGTGTCCTCTATATACAGTGGAATAGTATCCAGCTTTAAAAAGGAAGGAAATTCTGATACCTACTACAACATGCGTACATATTGAGCATGTTATGCTAAGTGAAATAAGCAATTACTAAAAGACAAATACTGTATGATTCCACTTATATCTGGTAACAAGAGCAGTCAAATCCACAGCGTCAGAAAGAGTGGTTGTTGGGCTTCCCTGGTGGCGCAGTGGTTGAGAGTCCGCCTGCTGATGCGGGGGACGCGGGTTCGTGCCCTGGTCCGGGAAGATCCCACATGCCGCGGAGCGGCTCGGCCCGTGAGCCATGGCCGCTGGGCCTGCGCATCCAGAGCCTGTGCTCCGCATCGGGAGAGGCCACAACAGTGAGAGGCCCGCGCACCGCAAAAAAAAAAAAAAAAAAAAAAAAAAACAAGAAGGAATGGTTGCCGGAGGCCAGCGGGAGGAGGGGATGGAGGGGATGGAAGAGTTCTAGAGATCGGTTGCATAACAATGCGAATGTACTTAACACTACTGAATGGTTAAGATGCTAAATTTTTTGCTACGGGCATTTTACTATAACAATTAAAAAACAGGAAAATAGAAATTGACATAGTACAGGTCCATAACCTCTAACCACAATTCTGAAATCCAAAAAGCTCTGGAAACCAAAAATTCTGGATTACATTCTGTTGTCCAGACTCCACTGGGACGCTACAGAATAAACAGTAGATGCGTCACATTTACCTTCTAAAAATTGGAAAAACTCTGAATGCTGAACACACCTGGCCTCCACAGGTTTCAGATAAAGGACTGCTGACCTAAATTCTGATAATATCCATTTTTCCTCTTTAGATGAGAGCAGATAGATACTGATTGTGGACAACTGATCCATCTATTCACTAACTAATGATGCATGTGGTTCTCCTGGCTGGTCCCTGCTTTGGAAAAAAAAATTGACAACCTGAGTAAAATACTTAGCAGGAAGCTCTTTGTTTTGTTTTCCTGCTTCCTTTTACCAACTTCAGGTTTCATTTTAAGATGCTGCCTGGTCCTGGGTGTTGCCAGCCACACACTGGCACCCGGGAAAGCCGGGCAGGCCAGGGTCGGCCCAGGCGCACAGTGATGATTCAGAACTGCTTACCAGATCACATCTGGGCACGCTGGACACGAACTGGGCCCCTTGGCAGCCTAGGATAAATCCGGCTAAATTCAGAAGGACACACACCACAGAGAGCAGCACAAAAAGGTTCACCTGAAACAGCAAGAAAAGAGGCAGTTAGAAAAAAGACCGTGGCTAAATTCAGAGATAGTTTTGTCTGAGTAAAAAAAAAAACTCATATTCTTTCCCTAGAGGAAACATTAAAAAAAAGTCAGAACAATGTTTTTAATGTACAAACTTTTTTTTTTCGTTTTTTAGAATGTTTTAAATTGTGCTGAGGAATGTCCCTGACCCTCAAGTCTTCTCAGTTTCCAGTCCCTATTTTTCTTGCTCTTTGCAAATGAGGGAGTTCTGTTAGCTGTACACTACCTTAAGCCATGGCTATTTCCTCCTTGAGCCATTGTTATTTTTTTCTGACTTTTACAGGATCATGGTAACTAGACAAATGGAGAATTCTAGAATATAAGTGGAACCCAGGAAAATCAAGGAGCTCAGAGCCATTACCAGCCAGAAATCACAGTATGTGTGAAAATAAAGATGAGTCTTTTTTCAGTTCCAAACAGTGTTGGTACTAAAGAAAAGGTGTGCAGTGACCTTCCATGTACTTGTATCCCAAGTTGAATATTACAAATACTACCCTAAATGATTAAGAATTGACAGAAATCAATCAAGAAGCCAGTATTTGCTTGGCGCAAATTAGAGACTACAAAGGCTTTTCAACCTGAGAACTCTGATTATTGTCAAAATCAAACCTTAATGTAAATATAAAAGATTGGAGCTAATGATTATCAGTGTTAGAACCAAGCAACATTTCAGGTAGCTGATGTGTCAGAACTGGCTGGCAAATGAGTTCACACGTGAACTCTACTACAGAAAGCTCATCCTTTATTGCTGGTATTCCAAGAAGCTTGAAAGTATCTCCCCAGACCCAGGTTATGAGTCAATATTTAGTATCACATGATGCCACTTTTCTTAAAAGGAATTCTTCCTTCCTCTCCAAGAGGAGCTTATGAATTATAAATACCGAGTGACTCCAGGAATCCAGACCCTTGCTGGACTTGACTCTTTCCTGACCAATGAACAAGGCGACTCGTTTTTCACTGAGGAATCTGGCTTCTGCTTCTCTCCTTTTTTGTTAATTTGTAAAAGGACTCTGTGCCCTGTCATCAAATCTTGAGGAAAAAGCTGGAAGCGGCTACTGTGTTACTGTTTCCCAGGCTAGATTCTTCCAGGTCTGTAGTACTTGACTTGCACTGTGCCCCCTTGCAAGAGCCCCCTCTTGCACTGCCAAAGCTTTTTGGAACATGAGAATGCATAATTGGCAAAAGACGGGACATGGTCTTCTAACATGGGCTTCTTTTATGCCCTGGCAGTTGCTATGCAAAGAGACCTAATACATCTGGAATCTTCACACCCAGCAACACAATAATTGTTACTATGGGGAAGTCTTGAACTTGCCTTTAGAAATTTTTTTTAAATGAAATATCAGATGCCTTAAAAAGAAAACATGGTTATAATCCTTATTCCTACCAGCCCACCACTAATCTTCATAACTGAAACTTAGCAGCATCAGATATGGAGTGGGTGAGAGTTCATTACCCAACACTGGACCCCAAATCTCTCCATTAAAATCTTAAATCCAGCTCATCAAAAGACACCATTAAGAAATCAATACAGGATTTCCCTGGTGGTGCAGTGGTTAAGAGTCCACCTGCCAATGCAGGGGACACAGGTTCGAGCCCTGGTCCGGGAAGATCCCACATGCCGCGGAGCAACTAAGCTGTGCGCCTCAACTACTGAGCCTGTGCTCTAGAGCCCACTTGCCACGACTACTGAAGCCCACGCGCTTAGAGCCTGTGCTCCGCAACAAGAGAAGCCACCACAATGAGAAGCCCGCGTGCTGCAATGAAGAGTAGCCCCTGCTCGCTGCAACTAGAGAAAAGCCCACGCACAGCAGTGAAGACCCAACACAGCCAAAAATAAAATAAATATATAAATTAAAAAAAAAAAAATATATATATATATATATATGAGCTTTTTTAAAAAAAAAAAGCGTAGTTGCCTGTTTTGGGGAGGAGGCGTGGAGTGAGGGGCTGACTGGCAAGAGATAAGGGAATTTTCTGGAGTGATAGAAATGTTCTATATCTTGTTTTGGATATTGGCTACATGGGTGTATCCAACTGCTAAAACTTAGCTAACTGAACACTTATGATCTGGGATTTATATAAATTATATTTAATATATATTTTTTAAATAAGGAAGAAAATCCTGAGTACAGCTGCCAAGACAGGAGTGTGAGATCATATAGTGAATACGATCTACTTCTAAAATGTCAGAACAACAAAAACAAGACAAGAGAAGGCCCCAGGGATTCACTGCCTGGTGGGCTTGGCTTCCCTCCTACACTGGAGGGGCTGCTAATGAGAAGTTAAAGCCACATCACCAGAATGCCGCCCTGCGAACCCCAGAACGAGGACATGGGCCAAGGCACACGGCTGTGTACAAAATAGCCGTGCACTGTTCCCCAAATTTATCCCTAAATTTGGCTTTTTTATTACTATTATTAAAACTCTGGCCAAACATTGGCCAAATGGTCATCTAATTACAGTAAGTCCCCTACATACAAATGAGCTCCGTTCAGAGAGCGTGTTGGTAAGTCCAATTTGTTCATAAGTGCAGCAGAGTTAGCCTAGGTACCCAACTAACACAATCGGCTATATAGTACTGTACTGTAATAGGTTTATAATACTTTTCACACAAACAATACATAAAAAACCAACCAACACAAAAAATAAAGAAAACATTTTTAATCTTACAGTACAGTACCTTGAAAAGTACAGTACAACAGCGGCATACAGGGGCTGGCATCAAGTGAAGAGGCAAGAAGAGTTACTGACTGGAGGAGGGAGAGGAGGTGGGAGATGGTAGAGCTGAAGGATCGTCAGCCATAGGAGACGGAAGACAAGCTGCCATTTCACTCATGCCTGAATGCATGTTCGCATCTTTGAAAGTTCTCAACTTGAAGGTTCGTAGGTAGGGGACTTACCGTACTCTAGGGGACTTACCGTACTCTAGTGTAGACCACTGTGGTATATATCAGACATGGCAGATATTAGGATACCAAGCATATCTCTTTCAGAGGTTGGATCAGGCTCAACCGTACAAAATATTGGAGTTATAAGGGATTCAGGATATACAGGGACCTTCAGAATGGACCCCTCTGGCTTTCACCTAGTTATAATGGTATAACATCCAGGACTCAAATATCCATCCGAACCATCACCAGATGGCATCCCCTTAAACAGAAGACAGTGAAAAATCAGCTACTAGTGAAGAACATCATAGTCACAAAGCCCACAGAGCTACACCTGGAAAAGGGAAGAATTTCTTATATTTTCTTCTATTGTCATCATTCTTGCCTTTAAAAAAATCATTGCAGGTGATTTGAGTTTCTCTTTGTGAAAGACACCAGAATTTGGGATCAGGCCTTCCCCTTGCTTGCTTAGACAACCTCCATGAGACTCACTTTTCTCATCTGTTAAAAAGGTCTATTGTCCTACTGGGAGAAAATATTTGCAAATGATGCAACTGACAAGGGCTTAATTTCCAAAATAAACAAATAGCTCATACAACTCAACAACAACAACAAAATAACCCAGTTGAAAAATGGGCAGAAGACCTAAATTGACATTTCTTCAAAGAACACAGATGGCCAACATATGCATGAAAAGATGCTCAACATTGCTAATTATTAGAGAAATGCAAATCAAAACTATAATGAGGTACCACCTCACACCGGTCAGAATGGCCATCATCAAAAAGTCTACAAACAATAAATGCTAGAGAGGGTGTGGAGAAAAGGAAATCCTCCTACATTGTCAGTGGGAATGTAAATTGCTGCAGTCACTATGGAAAACAGCATGGAGGTTCTTCAAAAAACTAAAAACAGAGTTGCCATATGATCCAGCAATGCCACTCCTGGGCATATTCTGGACAAAACTATAAGTCGAAAAGATACACGCATCCCTATGTTCATAGCATCACTATTTACAATAGCCAAGACATGGAAGCAATCTAAACGTCCATGGACAGATGAGTAGATAAAGAAGATGTGGTACATATATACAATGGAATATTACTCAGCCATAAAGAAGAATGAAATAGTGCCATTTGCAGCAACATGGATAACCTACAGATTACCATAAGTCAGAAAGAGAAAGACAAATACCATATGATATCACTTATCTGTAGAATCTAAAATATGACACAGGGCTTCCCTGGTGGCTCAGTGGTTAAGAACCCGCCTGCCAATGCAGGGGGCACAGGTTTGAGCCCTGGTCCAGGAAGATCCCACATGCCACGGAGCAACTAAACCCACGCACCACAACTACTGAGCCTGCGCTCTAGAGCCCATGAGCCATGAGTACTGAGCCCACGTGCCACAATTACTGAAGCCTGCACGCCTATAGCCCGTGCTCCGCAACAAGAGAAGCCACCGCAATGAGAAGCCCGCGCACCGCAATGAAGAGTAGTCCCCACTCCCTGCAACTACAGAAAGCCTGCAGCAGCAACGAAGACCCAACGCAGTCAAAGATAAATAAATAAATTTATTAAAAAAAATAAAATAAAGTGAAATAAAATATGACACAAATGAACTTACCTACGAAACAGAAACAGACTCACAGACATAGAGAACAGAATTGTGGTTTCCCAGGGGGAGCGAGGGGGAGGGAGAGATGGATTGGGAATTTGGGATTAGCAGACATAAACTCAATATTATACATAGAATGGATAAACAACAAGGCCCTACTGTATAGCACAGGGAACTATATTCAATATCATATCATAAACCATAATGGAAAAGAATATGAAAAAGAATGTGTATATATGTATAACTGAATCATTTTGCTGTACAGCAGAAATTAACACAACATTGTAAATCAATTATACGTCAACAAAATAGGTTAGAAAAAAAAGGTCTATCATCCTAGGTACCTCCCAAGATTAATGAGAGACTCACACAAAATGATGTATATGAAAATCTTCTGTATCTCGCAAAATGCTAGGCAACCAGTTTTACTATTACTAATAAT